TTAATTTATTTTTACGCTAATAATCTATTTATCCTTCTTTCCTTTTTCACTTGAATATTACGCTTAAATTTTCTTCCCATATAAAAATGCAAAATAAGATTTGAAAATCTTTTTGTGAATTTTTTACAATAAAATTTACATACCATGGCAAAAAGGAATTTTTTTTTCTGTTATTTTTTACTGAAAACAACTGTTTTCAGGGTTAAATAGAGAAGACAATGAGGAGGAAACACAACGACGACATTGACGATGACTATGATCAGTGAAACAGATAGAGGAGGAGGAAGGGAAAGGAAAGGACGAGTGAGAGGAGGAATGGAGGAAAAAGTGGAGGGAAAATGAGAAGTATCAATGTTAAAATGAATTTTTATGGATAAAACATCTGCAGTATGGAAGAAAAACTGAAGGGAAAAAAGCCGAAATAGCCGTCTTCAGATATATTCCTTTACAACGGCCCAATTTTATAGTTACCAATTGACAAAAAATAAAACCCATTGCTCTTGGAGATTCTTTCGTTACGCTTATTTATCTATCTATTTGTTTGGCTTTTTATTTTTTTAGTTACTACTATTGATGTATATTTGAACAAAAAAAAAAAAACAGCAATTTTCTATTCTTATTTTTTTCTCCTCTTATGAATAGAAGTACAGATTTTTATAGGCCAAAGAAAAAAAAAACTCAACATCATTTTTATGTTTTGTTCATTGTTTTCGTTTTTTTTCCCCCTTCTTCTTCTTTTAATGTACGATAAAATTTAGCACAACCCGCATCAATACGGTTATTTATGGAAGATGCCTAACTGCAGTTGTTTTCATAGGTGTAATGCTAGAAAAAAGTTTTCGGTCAAAAGAAAAAAAAAAACAAAAATAAGTTTTATAGGGATTAGAAAAGACTCAAAAAAAACAAAAAAAGTCAAAAAGAAATAAGAAGAGGAAAAATTAGTTGATTATTTATGTAGACGGAGGTAAAGGTAGGGGAGGGCAAAGACAAGGCAATTTCAATGAAGAATACGAGGACAAAAAGGAACGAGAAGAAGAGGGAAGGTGGCAGGTTAAAAAATTCTATGTATCATCGACTCATCGGAATAGGAATTGTTTCCAGCGATGAATTTTCTAAAATTTTCAGTTTTTCTTTCTATTTCTTTCTTTTTTGCTTCTAATAAGTATGCATATACTGAACAGCAACGATCGCTACGCAGTTGTTTTTTTTTTTTTTTGCCATTTTCTGGTCATAGTCATCAACGATAGTACCATCGTCGTTGTCACCGTCATCATAATCACCATCATCATCGTCATCGTCATTATCAGTATCAAAGCAGGAACAGAAGCAACAACAGGGACGATGTCAGTGAAGATGACGACAAGAACAGCGATGATTGAAATCCAAAAAAGCAAAAAAAAAAAAAAAAAAAA